AGTAGTATAAGTGCTAGCAGTCATACTCGCAGCAGTAGTAGTAGTAGTAGTAGTAGTAGTGGCAGTGGTAGTAGTAGTAGTAGTAGTTGCAGTAGTAGTAGAGTTAGTTGTAGTAGAAGTAGTAGTAGATGTACTAGCCGTTGTACTAGTAATAGAAGGAGCAGGTCTAGTAGTTGTGATAGTGATACTTGTAGTAGTAGTAGTAGTAGTAGTAGTAGTGGTAGTTCCAGTAGTAGTAGTAGTAGTAGACGGAGTAGTAGTAGTAGTAGTAGTGGTAGTAGTAGTAGTAGTAGTAGTAGTAGTCGTAGTCGTAGTCGTAGTCGTAGTAGTAGTAGTAGTAGTAGTAGTAGTAGTAGTAGTAGTAGAAGTAGTAGAAGTAGTCGTAGGAGTAGTAGGAGAAGTAGGTAGTAGTAGTTCTTATCGTAGCAGTAGTTATTGTAGCTGTTGTGGTAATAGGAGTCGTTGAAGTAGTAGTATCAGTAGCAGTAGTAGTGGTATTCGTAGTAGTGGTAGTAGTAGTAGTAGTAGTAGTAGTAGTAGTAGTAGTAGTAGTAGTACTAGTAGTAGTAGTAGTAGTAGTAGTAGTAGTAGTAGTAGTGTATGTTTATTCGTAGTAGTATCACTAGCAGTAGTGGCAGTAGTAGGAGTAGTAGTAGTAGTTGTTGTCTCCGTCGTAGTTTCAGTAGTCGTTGCACTACAGGTACTCGTAGAAGCAGAAGCAGTAGTAGTAGTCGTCGCCGCCGTCGGTGTCGACGTCGTCGTCGTCGACGTCGCCGTCGACGTCGCTGTCGGCGTGGTAGGAGTAGTAGTAGTAGTAGTAGTAGTAGTAGTAGTAGTAGTAGTCGTAGTAATAATAGTGGTCGCCGTCGTCGTCGCCGTAGTAGTAGTCGTAGTACGTATTGTAGAATTCGTACCAGTACGAGTACCAGTGTGAGTACTAGTACTTGTAATAGCACGAGTAGTAGTAGTGGTAGTAGTGGTTGTTGTTGTTATTTGCAATAGCTGTAGTCGTGATAGTAGTAGGAGTTATACGAGTAGTAGTAGTAGTAGTAGTAGTAGCAGTAGCAGTAGTAGTAGTAGTAGTCGTCGTCGTCGTAGTACTAGCAGTAGTAGTAGTAGTAGTAGTAGTAGCAGCAGTAGTAGTAGTAGTAGTAGTAGTAGTAGTATCAGTCGCAGCAGCAGTAGTGGTAGTAGTAGTAGTAGTAGTCGTAGTAGTAGTAGTAGTAGTAGTAGTAGTAGTAGTAGTAGTAGTAATAGTAGTAGTCGCAGTCGTAGTCGTAGTCGTAGTATTCTGATTAGTAGTAGTAGTAGTAGTAGTAGTAGACGTCATTGTCGTTGATGTCGTAATCGTACTCGTGGTCGTAGCCGTAGGCATAGCCGGAATAGTTGCGGTAGAAGTCGTAGCACAAATCGCCGTCGTAAGCGTAGTTGTAGTAGCCGTGATCGTGGTTTTCACAGTCGTAGTCTCGGAGGGAGTGAACGTGCTCGTGATAGGGATTGTAGGAACTTTTCTGAAGGCTGAGCAATGGCAGACGGCGGTCGGGAGTACGTGGTTTTCCCAACTCTCCCGTGGTGTTGGGTCTTCGCGTTGACAAGACAGCGCCCCGCGTTCCTCCTCCCGCTGCCCCCTCCTCCACACCTCCCCATCCTTGCCTCTGCCCTCAGCGCCTGCCAGGCATTTCGGCACAATCCTCACACGCTCCGTGGCCCCATGGGGAGCTCCACCGAGGGCCGTAGTGACTGCGCTCGCAGAGCACAGCCGCACTCATGCCGACACCGCTCACGTTGCGTGGCCCCATAGAGAGCTCCACCGAGGGCCCTAGCGACAGCGCTCGCACGGCACCACCGCGCCTGTTTCGGCACACACCTCACACGTTTCGTGGCCCCATAGGGTGTCTACCGAGTTCCCCAATGGCTGTGCTCGCATGGCACCACCGCGTTAACATCGGCACACCCCTCACACGCTTCTTGGCCCCATAGAAAGCTCCACCGATGGCTCCAGTGACTGCGCTCGCACTGCGCCGCCGCGAACATGTTGGCACACCCATGGCCCCGTAGGGAGATCCAAGGAGGGCCCTAGCGGCTGCGTTCGCATGGCTCCACCGTACCCGTGTCGGCGCACCCCTCACACGTCTCGTGGCCCCATAGAGAGCTCCACCGAAGGCCCCAGTGGCCCCGTCCGCCTGGCACCAACGCGCCCATCCCGGCACACCCTTCACACGCTTCGTGGTCATATTGGAAGCTCCACTGAGGGCCCCGTTTGCAGAGCACCACCGCGCTAATTTCGGCACCTGTCACACGCTTCTTGGCCCTACAGGGAGCTCCACCGAGGGCCCCGCTGGTTGTGCTCGCATGGCACCACCACGCCCACTTTGGCACACCCCTCACACGTTGCTTGGTCCAATAGCGAGCTCCACCGAAGGCCCCAGTGATTACGCCCGCTTGGCACCACCGCGCCCATTCTGGCACACCCCCCACACGCTTCGTGGCTTCATTGGGGGGTTCAACCGAGGGCCCCAGTTGATGCGCGCGCACGGCACCACAGCGTTCATTTCGGAACACCCCTCACACGTTTCGTGGCCCCATAGGGAACCCCACCGAAGGCCCCAGTGGCATGGTTCGCATGCCGCCCCCCCGTCTATTTTGGCACACCCCTTACATTATTTGTGGCTTCGTAGGGAGCTCCACCGAAGCCCCATTGGCATGGTTCCCATGCCGCCACCCCGTCTATTTTGGCACACCCCTCACACGCTTCGTGGCCTCATAGGAAGTTCCACCGAAGGCCCCAGTGGCATGGTTCGCATGTCGCCCCCCTCCACCTTGGCGCACACCTCACACGCTTCGTAGCAGCATAGGGAGCTCCACCGAAGGCCCCAGTGGCATGGTTCGCATGCCGCTCCCCCGTCGAATTTTGGACACTCCTCGCGCGTTTCGCGGCCCCACGAGGAGTTCCTCCGAAGGCCCCAGTAGTATGGTTCGCATGTCGCCCCCCCTCCGTTTTGGCACAACCCTTCGCGTGTCACCATTGCGCTAATTTCGGCACCCGTTACACGTTTCGTGGCCGCATAGGGAGCTCCAACGAAGGCCCCAACGGCACGGCTCCTGTGCCGCCACCCATCCATTTTGGCACACCCCTCACACGCTTCGTGGCCCCACAGGGAGCTCCACCGAAGACCCCAGCGGCGTGACTTGCATGCCGCCCCCCTCGATTTTGGCACACCCCTCACACGCTTCGTGACTCCATGAGGAGCTCCGCGAAAGGCCCCAGCGGCAGCGCCGGCGTGGCGGCCCCGCCCCATCGCGGCGCGCCCTTCGCGCGCTTCGTGGCCATAGGGAGCTCCGCCGAAGGCAGTTCTCACAACGGCGGCATACTCGGAAAGGCATCATCGTGTTACATCTTCGCGCCTCGACGGCGCCCTCGACGGCGCCAAGTTATTCGCGCTTCGCGGTTCGGCTCCGATTCCTCCTCATCCTCCTCTTCTCCCCTGGGAGGCGGCGCGAGAGCGCGAAGTTATTCGCACTTCGCGCTTCGCGCAGCGCGCAGCGCGAAGTTGGGAGCCCTCGTTTACTGGAGCAGACATCAGCAATACGTGGAGCGTCGGCGCCCAAAGAGGCAGCGCCTCCAGAACCACAAGCGGTACAGCGCGAGCGGGAATCCAAGCGCGTCTCATGAAGCCGGCATCGTGCTTGCTGGTCCTTCTTAGCTTTAAGTCTGGCCTGTCCCTCTACAGGGGGAATACTCAAACATAATAATAAAAAAGTCTGGGGACGTTTTTTGATTATTTTTTGGCATGTTGCTTGGAGTATTTTAAAAAGTCGCCCCAAATCCCCCTGTAGGGGGCACGCCCGACTTAATGCCAGTGGAAAATGTGTGGCTCCAGGGCAACCTCACTGTAGGATGCGAGACATCGCGCGAAAGCCAGGGAACCCTGGACACTGGCAGTCCAGAGGGCCATAGCCTGCGGGAGTGCCCAGCAGTTCGATATCAGTGTGCAGTCCCATGTCCCTGGCCGTTGTCGAGAGCCTCTGCGATGATGTCCGTAGGCCTTGCCCAACGGCCTGCTTGCCCGCTCGCACCGGTACGCTGGGGGCGGGCCCCAGCCCGCCTCGGCGCCTCCTGCGAAGCAGCTGCAGACGCCACGGCCGGCGCACCCGCGCCATGGCACGCCGGCGGCTCGCATGCGGCCCCCCGCGGCGGCTTTGGCGGCCCCGGCGGCGCACCCAGGGCCAGCCGGCAGGAGGTTCGACTCACCGCGACAGTGCGCTCTCGCTATCGCCGAAGAAGAGAGATCGGCGCAGACACGCAGTTTCGGAGGTCTGCGCGGGTTTCTTGGATCGGCGCTCGACGCCCCTGCCCGGGGACACCGCCATGGGGTTCTCAAGCGCCGATCCGAAAAACCCGCGCCGACCTCCGACAATTGAATTGGTGATGCCCTTGTTTCTTCCTCCACATCAAGGAACTGCGCCAGAAGCGCCGCTGGGAGCAAGTCCTAGCTGCGCTGCACGACCTCGTGCTTAGCAACCTGCAGCCGGAATTGGTAACGTGCGGCGCCGCAATCAGTACTTGCTCGGCCTGCAGCCAGTGGCAGCACGTATTTGCGCTGCTGGACAGCCTGGCTGAGTGTGGTATCCAGAAGGATGTCATCTTAATCAACGCAGCCATCAGTGCATGTAGCGGTGAACAGTGGGACAAGGCTCTGTGGTTGTTGCGCAGCATGGATCCGATAATGCCGAACACGGTGTCCTTCAGTGCTGCCGTCAACGCAATTAGCGTAGGTGGATCAAGCGCGAAATGGGAGCATACTCTAGGCCTACTCTCTGACATGTGTAGCCTGGCTATTGAATTCGACATGATCGCTTACGGCACCCTGATTGATTCAGCAGTCTCACGGGACATCCGCTGGCTCTTCTTTTGCGGTTTCTCCCACGGCCTTTTGGGGCCTCCGTTGACGTTGTTCATTAGTTTCACGGGCGGGGCATCCGCTGTCGCCTCTCGTTCGGCTTCTCTCAGGGCCTCCTTGGGCCTCCCTGTCTCTATTTGGTGTTCAAGCCTTTTGCGGCCTTTGAGGCCACTTTGGTGTCTTGGAGGCTGGGGTTGACTCTTGAATGGAGGGTATATGGGGAGGCAAAAGAGAGGAGCAGGATGTGGTGGAGGAGGAGGAGGATTACGAGGAGGCGGCGAGGGATTTTGAGGCGGAGCAGGTGGAGGACGACGGCGACGAGGGAAGGATGAGGAAGATTACAGGGAGGAGACGGTGGAGAGAGAGAGAGAGAGAGATACAAAGAGAGTGGTTGAGGGGGAGGGGGCGTGTGAGAGGGAGGGCATTATTTGCAATGACTCTCGGCAGTCTTCCGGGACTCTCTTGGGGCCTTCTGTGGCTGTCCGGGGGCTCAGCTGCGACCTTGAGCCGCTTCTTCGCTTCCAGGGGGGACGTCATGGGGCTCTTGTAGGGCTCTCTTGGGGCCGTCCTGATGCGACTGGCGGCCTCCTGGGGACGCTTTTGAGCTGCCTCGGCACGCTCTGCGGGTCGTGCTGAGCTGTCCTCGCGCCCTCTAGGGCGACATCGGGCCGGAAGTTATTCTGGGCCGTCTTTGGGAATTCAGTCCTTGAGCATCTATAGGCTGTCGTGGGGCCCTCGCATGTGTTCTGAGGCCGTCTTCGGTGAAACCGCCTAGGACACCAACACCAGCGAAAGCTATATCCAGCTGCCTACGGCGAGTCCCGCCACCGTGCCTGGGTTGTGGGTTAGATGCCTAGTGGATGTTATTTGGGATCTCGAGGGGGACCTCTCGGGGGCCTGTTGGAGTCAGTGTTGATGCTCTTGGGGGCCGTTTGGGGGCATCCTTGGGGCCTCTTGAAGGTCTTTTGAGGCCTCTTGGGCGCCTCTTGGGGCCTCCTGGGGGCCCCTTGGGGCGGAAGGCTCGGATTTTCGGTTCATGTTCCCTCTCTGGTGCCCCTTTTCGGTGCCGTTTTGGGCCCCTCTTGGGCCGTCCTGGGGCGCTCTTAGGCCGTCTTGGGGTATCTTGGAGGCCTCTGGGGCCGTTTCGAGGTGGTCTTGGGGGGCATGTTGGGCCGTCTTGGAGCGTCGGAACGTCGAAAAGGCGAGAACGCCACAATCCTTCAAAAACGCTCGGAAAATCAATGATTTTTGGTTTTCGGGACCATCTCGGGAAACCTCTTGGAGGGGTCTTGGGGCGCCTTGGAAGCCTCTTGCGCCGTCTTGAGGCTATCTTTGGCGTCTTCGAGCGATCGTTCGGCGACTCGGGGCCCTCTTGGACTGTCTTGGGGGCCTCCTGGGTCGTCATGGAAGCCTTGGAGAGGCCAGGAAGGCGCCATGGCCGCCCAAGGACGCCCCGGGAGCATGGCCGGTGCATGCAGCGAGGTGCGGCCTGGGAGGGGGCGGGTCCCTTAGAGATTACAAGAACCCTACCAAACAGCACTTGGCATTCTGCCACGCCTCAACGAGCCAAGGAGCACGGTGGCGGAGTTCACAATGTTAGCCAGCGTGGACCCCAAACAAGAAGATGTTGCACTGTGGATGTGTAAAGTTTGGTGCAAGCCGTGTGGTGCAAGCTGTGTGGTGTTACGTTTGTGGTGCACTCCACGTGGCGTAACCAACGTGGTGCAATCTGCGTGGTGCAAGCTACGCGGTGCAAGCTATGTGGTGGAAGCTATGTGCAAAGTGGTGTAAGCTGTGCGGTACCTTCTGCGTGGTGCAAGCTATGCGGTCCAAGCTATGTGGTGCAAACTACGTGGTGCAATTCACATTGCAGAAATTGAAGTTTTCAACTCCACCGCTCTGGCAATCATCACACCCTTCCTCCCCTCGACTTGTTTGGCACAACCCATGCGGCCGCGATTGCGGAGGCCACTTTGCACAGGCTGGCGCATCCGCGGCTGCGCTAGCGCGCGCAAGCTCGCGCAAGGAGTGGCCAGCTTGTTTGGCACAGCCGCCGCGTCCGCGATGGCGCATACCGATGGGAATCCCCCAGCGCGTCTCGAAGGCCACGCTGGGACGCGGGCACTTCAGTGCGGATCGGTGAGTCGGGCGGGCGCGGTATCATGATGACGCCGACGAAGGCGGCAACGCTGATGGATAGTACCGATCGTGGTGGCGCTAATGACGATGACGACTCGGGTGCACCAGATTGCTGCTTCTAGACGAAATCATTGACGTACGATTTCAGCAACTGCGCTCGGGCAGAGCAGACGGTTTGCTATACAACACCGCCAGTTTTTGTTGACGCTCTTAGGTTGAATTGTTTGTACAACTGTTGTGTGTTGTCTGATGTAGACATGTGTCCGCGCATGTGGACGTTGTGCAGTTTGGCCCGTCTCCTGTGTGTGTATGTGTGTGTGTGTGTGTTTGTTTGTGTGTGTTTGTAGTTGTGTTTGTGTGGTTGTGTGTGTTGGAACTGTTTATCGAAACATATTGTTATGAGATAGGCGAGCCCAAGCGCATAGTGTTGTGCAATCGCGTCGCACACGTCGCCAGTCCA